AAAGTATGAAAGTATGTGCCAGAAAAAAAAAACCCCACACCAAATGACAACTATTACTTCTGAGGAAAGAGGAAGATAGCACTGAAAGGATCCCAGTGGGAACTCCAACCCTAATTGTAGTGCTTTAGTATTTTGCTGACAGAAAGCATTTAAAGCAAATATCTTTGAGAGGCCAAGGCGGGTGGATCCCGAGGTCAAGAAATCGAGACCATCCTGGTCAACATGGTGAAACCCCGTCTCTACTAAAAATACAAAAAATTAGCTGGGCATAGTGGCGCAGGCCTGTAATCCCAGCTACTCAGGAGGCTGAGGCAGGAGAATTGTCTGAACCCATGAGGCGGAGGTTGTGGTGAGCCGAGATGGAGCCATTGCGCTCCAGCCTGGGTAACAAGAGCGAAACTCCGTCTCAAAAAAAAAAAAAAAAAAAAAAAAAAAGCAAGTATCACAAAACTATATCTAAAAAAAATTAAAAGTATTTTGTTTTCTGGACTTTTCTATATATTTTTTTCTTTTCTTTTTTCTTTTGAGACGGAGTTTCGCTGTTGTTACCCAGACTGGAGTGCAATGGCGCGATCTCTGCTCACCGTAACCTCCGCCTCCTGGGTTCAAGCAATTCTCCTACCTCAGCCTCCCGAGTAACTGGGACTACAGGCGCGCACCACCATGCCCAGCTAATTTTTGTATTTTTAGTAGAGACAGGGTTTCACCTTGTTGACCAGGATGGTCTCGATCCCTTGACCTCGTGATCCACCCGCCTCGGCCTCCCAAAGTGCTGGGATTATAGGCGTGAGCCACCGTGCCCAGACTTTCTTTTTTTTTCTTTTCTTTTTTTTTTTTTTTTTTGAGACAGAGTTTTGCTCTTGTTGCCCAGGCTGGAGTGCAATGGCGCCATCTTGGCTCACTGTAACCTCTGCCTCCCAAGTTCAAGTGATTTTCTGGCTCCGCCTCCTGAGTAGCTGGGATTATAAGCATCTGCCACCATGCACAGCTAATTTTTTCTGTATTTTTTTCTAAATTAAAAATAAATAAAATAAGACAAAACTAAGTAGTGGGAGCTACTTTCAGACAGGGTGGTCAGGGAAGGCCTCTCTGAGGAGAGAGCCCAGCCCTGCAGAGATTAGGGGGCAGAACACCTCAGGCAGAAGGTCCTGGACCCAACTGAGGCCATCCAGCCCCTACCCCACCATCCCCGTGCTCAAGCATCCCCCATCACCTGATTGTCATCAAATGCACCCACTAGGGCTTGCTGATCTGTTCTGCCTCTTTATTTTTTTAAATTGTGAGATATAACTTACGTACATAAAACATATATTCAGTTTAAAAAATACAAAGCAAACATTCATGTGACTATCACCTAGGTCAACAAAGGGAACAATGCCACCTCTCAGCAGGAATCTCCTCCATTCTGTATTCCCCCACCCAAGTAATCACTCTCCTGACTTTCAGGAAAACCATGCCCTTGTTGTCTTTCGTGTTCTACTTCAAACATGTGCATCCCTTTTGAATTTACATAAATGAAAACATACTGCATACAATATTTTGTGGTTAGCTTCTTCTATTTAACACAACATTTGAGAAATTCATCTGCATTGCTTTTGTTTTTCTGGAGACAGAGTCTTGCTTTGTCTCCCAGGCTGGAGTGCAGTGGTGTTATCTTGGCTCACTGCAACCTCTGCCCCCCAGGTTCAAGGAATTCTCACGCCTTAGGCTCCCAAGCAGCTAGGACTACAGGCATGAGCCACCATGCCCAGCTAATTTTTTTGTATTTTATTTTATTAATTTTTTTCTGAGATGGAGTCTTGCTCTGTTGCCCAGGATGGAGTGCAGTGGAATAATCTTGGCTCACTGCAACCTCTGCCTCCTGGGTTCAAGCAATTCTACTGGCTCAGCCTCCCAAATAGCTGGGATTATAGGCACCCGCCACCCCACCTGGCTAATTTTTTTTTTTTGTATGTTTAGTAGAGATGGGATTTCACCATGTTGGACACACTGGTCTCGAACTCCTGACCTTTGGTGATCTGCTCACCTTACCCTACCAGACTGCTAGGATTACAAGCATGAGCCACTGCACCCAGCTTCATCTGCATTGTTGAGCGTAGCTATAGTTTATTTGCATTGCTATATAGTGTTCTGTTGCATGGCTATTGCACAGAACATATTTTATCCATCCTATTGATAGCCACTGGAGTTGTTTCCAGTGTAAGATTATTACAAATAGTGTTGTATTCTTGTACATATATATTGTTTATACATGTGCAGGAGTTTCCCTAGTGTATATACATATATAGAGTTGTTGTAGGGTATATGCATCTTTTCTAGATAATAGCAGCCGGGCATGGTGGCTCACATCTATAATCCCAGCACTTTGGGGAAGCTGAGGTAGGAGGATCACTTTGAGCTCAGGAGTTTCAGGCCATCCTAGACAACATGGTGAGACCGTGTCTGTACAAAAAAAAAAAAAAAAAGAAAAGGGTAACAGCAAACTTTTTTGTTATTTTGTCATATTTATTACCCAAGTCTTTTGAGGAAAAGATCATGCCTTAAACTATTCTCTCATTAGTGATTCCCTCTCAGAGCCCATCACTAAATTGTATTTGTAGAAGGTTCTTAATATGTACCCAGTGACAGTGAGAGATAGATTCAAACCAGGTTTCCTCTCTACCTACCTCGGAGGCAGGCCACACCTGCCAGAAGTAGCAGCAATGTTCCAGCATAGTGAGAAAACGGCACCACTTTGGACAAACTCAAGTAACCTGGGAAGGGAGAGGGACAATGTGAGACCCTCTCCACAATGCCCCTCAGCTCCTCTTCCCAGTTCAGCCCCCACCTTCACCCCACACTTCCTCTTTGGAACAGCCATACCCTAAGAGGAAGAAGATGCCTGATGGAAGAGGGAAGCCAAGCCATCCTCACAGGTCCCCTCTCCTCTTTAGGGAGCTGGCTCATCTGCCAACAACATGCCCATTTGCTGCCCCACCACCTTCGAAACCACACTGACCTTTCCTGTACAAGTAGAAGAAGGCGAAGGGAGAGGAGTAATAAGAGATGGACCAGAATACTGAAGCCTGCAGCAGAGAGACAGGGACAGGCAATCAATACACACACACACACACACACACACACACACACACACCTGCCATTCCAGGCCTACACTTCTGAGCAAGATGGACAACCTGAGGGATATCGTATAGAGTATTTGGTGTACGACACCATGCACACAATAGGTGCTTGATATTTGTTGAAAAGTACTGTGTCAGTGTAATGGAGGCTGGGAAAACTAGGTACAGGTTCTATTTTGTTCCTCTGGAATTATGGAAGAATTACGTCTTCCATCTCCAGACTTAATTCCATCACATTTAAAGGCCAGTCTCTCTGTCTACTCAAGTTAATCAAGCCTTTTCAATTGGCCCTGCTCAGGACAGCCCCTGGCCTGGTCCCCAAGAGATGCGCAAACATCACCATAGGAACTGTGCCAGAAAGAACAGCTGTCCCTGCAGCCAAAGAGGTTAGTTGCCAGGGAGGACAGGTCACTGGGGAACTGCAGGACTTAGCACCTGAAGATGGTCCCAAGAGTAAACATGTTTTCCTCACGGCTCAGGCTGCCTCAAAGAAAGCAAAGGTACATGCCAAAGGGGAGTGCCAAGTATGCACACTTAGAATGTGTCTGTGTGTCTGTGTTGGAGAGGTCTGTTGCAGAGCCCAGAGCATCCCCCACCCCAGGTGCGCTGCTGCTCCCAGGAGGGCTAAGTTCAAGAGGACAGGTGGGTCTGAAAGATGCAGAGAGTCCCAGATACCAGGGTAGACATACCAGTGCCAGGATGCTGTCAGCATGTTTCTCCAGGGCACGGGGCTGATAGTACGTATCCTGCCAAAACAGATGGCCTCCTTAAGGACCCTGCCCATTGGCAGGTCTTTCCCCTTCCCTTTCAGAAGCCCTGCTGCTTGTCCTCCAGTTCTAGCCTCATTGACTCTCTCTCTTGAGACATCCCTGGCCCCCACAGAAACCCCTCTTCCTCAACCTGAACCTGATTTCCCAACCCTGATCATGGGAACACAGGGAGCTGGATTTGGAAGCAAAAGTGAAAGCAGCATTGGACGATTTTTGCTCCTTTCCACAGATCAGTTTCAAATGGATTGCTGGCACGTGCATATGGGGAGAAGGGTTAGAGAAGAAAGGAAAGACACCAAGACAATTCTAAGAGGGAAAAAAAAGCATCAGAAATAAGAGTAGTTGACTGAGAAGAGAATGTGGGTTGGAGCAGGCAGTTTGTAGGAGACAATAACACAATGTGAGACAACTGATAAAAAGGAAGAGAATATTTAGAACAGCCTACCACCACGCGCCAGCTCTCCAGCATACAATGACTCTGGGGTCTCCAGGCTAAATTGGGCGGGGGTTACAGGGAGGACCCGGGGATACCTGATCTGTAAAAGTCATTCCGAAATTCAAGGCCAGGGCAAAGGGAAGATAAAAACGGAGCGCGGGGGGAGGCACGAAGAGGCACTGAAGAAGAGAAAATTGGGAATTTGATTGCAAAATTCACTGGCTCCCCAGTCCACGCAGGGTCTCTTCCAGGACTTAAGACTCAACTAGGACCAGCACGAACCACGACAGACAGGGTGGGGGGACGCGGAAAGGAAAGAGCAAGGAGTGGTAGTCGGAATGAGAAAGCGGTAAAGAGCGAAAAAGAAAGACGGCCAGTCCGTAGGCGTGACTTTAACCCAGGAAGCACACAGAGCGCAGACTTTGCGGACAACTGGCTTGACAAGCAGACTCCCCTAATTTCCCCTCATGGGCACTTCTAGGGAGCGAAGGCCGTAAAGGGTTTGGACTGTACCACGTTCTTCGGCGGGGGGGAACTCGACTCACCCAGGAGCTGGAATGGGGAGCAGTGACTGCCGTTGGCGTCTCGGGAACGCTGGCCGGGGCCCTTTCGGATTCCCTCTCCCGGTAGATTTTGTAGAGCCGAGGGCCTAGGACGCAGCTTAGCAGCTTCGCCATGGCCCCGGCTCGGGCCGCTGCTCTTCCAGCAGCAGGTCCCCCTGCTGGCCCCGCCCTCCTCTGCCTTTTGAGGTGTTTTGTGCCCTTGACGTCAGCTCGTACTGGCTCCGCCTCCGGACGAATCGCGACATTTTCTGTGCTTCCTGAGAAGAGTTTCGCGCAATTGGGGCTACGGGTACTGCAGCGGTCCTAAATTAGTGGAAGATTTTGGAACGCGGAAAATTAGAAAATTATTAGGCATAGTTCAGTAATTTTTTTCTGTCTCATTGGCAGACTCTAAAGCGACAGCGGAAACAAGGAATGAGATTAAAAGCACTTGACAAGAGTAATAGAAAAGATAAGATGTCTAGGAATATCTCTGGTACAAAAAATGCAAGATTTTATGAAGAAAACTATAAAAAAATTGTTGAAAGGTAAACTGGCCCGGCGCGGCGGCTCATGCCTGTAATCCTAGCACTTTGTAAGGCCGAAGCGGGTGGATCACTTAAGGCCAGTAGTTCGAGACCAGCCTGGCCAACATGATAAAACCATGTTTTTGTATTTTTATTTACTAAAAGTACAAAAATTAGCCGGGCGTGGGTGGCGCGCGCCTGTAATCCCAGCTACTCGGGAGGGCGAGGCACGAGAATCTCTTGAACCCAGGAGGTGGAGGTTGCAGCGAGCCAATATTGTGCTACTGCACTCCAGGCTTGGCGACAGAGCAAAACTCTGTCTCTAAAGAAATAAATAAATGTAAACAAACAAACAAACAAACAAAAAGAAGATGAAGGAAGAAGAATAAATAAATAAATGTAAACTGGCCCAGCACGGTGGCTCACGCCTGTACTTCCAACATTTTCGGTGGCCGAAGGAGGATTGCTTGCGCCCAGGAGTTCCAGCAACATAGTGAGACCTGATCTCTACACAAAATACCAAGGAGGGCAGAAAAAAAAAAATACCCAGCGGGGTGTGGTGGTGTGTACCTGCAGTCCCAGCTACTCGAGAGGCCAAGGTGGGTTGCTTGAGCCCAAGAGTTGAGATAGTGCCACGCACTCCAATCTGGGTGACAGAGCCAGACCCTGTCTCAAAATAATAACAGAAAAAGTAAAAAAAAGGAAGGTATCTTGTCTGATCTTGGAAGCTAAGCAGGGTTGGGCCTGGTTAATGCTTGGATGGCAGACCGCCTGGGAATACCGCGTGCTGTAGGCTTGTTTAAAAACAAAAAAGAAGAAGAAGAAAGAAAGAAGTAAACGAAAAGCTTTTCAATAAATGGAAAGCTACACCATGGTCCTAAATACGAAAATTCAGCATTGGCAGGGCGCGATACGGTGGCTCATGCCTGTAATCACAGCACTTTGAGAGGCCAGGTGGATCACCTGAGGTCAGGAGTTTGAGACCAGCCTGACCAACATGGAGAAACGCTGTCTCTACTAAAAATACAAAAATTAGCCGGCCGTGGTAGCTTATGCCTATAATCCCAGCTACTTGGGAGTCTGAGGCAGAATTGATTGAAGGCAGGATTGGAGGTTGTGGTGAGCTGAGATCGCACCATTGCACTACAGCCTGGGCAACAAGAGGGAAACTGCCTCAAAAAAAAAAAAAAAAAAAAAAAAAAATCAGCATGGTAAGATACGTGGAATACTTGTAAAAAGAAAATAAGTGAATCCGTAATCTTATGCATGAACTGAATCTCAAAACCATGATGCGAGTGAAAATAGAAAGTAGCAGAAGAACACATACCATTGGCCGGGAGCGGTGGCTCATGCCTATAATCCCAGCACTTTGGGAGGCCGAGGCGGGTAGATCACGAGGTCAAGAGATCGAGACCATCCTGGTCAACATGGTGAAACCCCATCTCTACTAAAAATACAAAAATTAGCTGGGCATGGTGGTGCGAGCCTGTAGTCCCAGCTACTTGGGAAGCTGAGGCAGGAGAATTGCTTGAACCCAGAAGGCGGAGGTTGCGGTGAGCCAAGATCGTGCCATTGCACTCCCGTCTGGGTAACAACAGCGAAACTCCATCTAAAAAAAAAAAAAACAGAAAGAAAGAAAAAAAGAATACATACCATTATATTAGACTCAAAAACACATAAAATGTAATGATAAAGCAAGTGGAGAAGAAAGAGAAAATTCAGAATAGTGTTTACATAGCATAGATCTCTGACTGAAATGGAGTATTCTTTTCACTCTCTCTCTCTCTCTCTCTCTCTCTTTTTTTTTTTTTTTGACAGGGTCTAGCTCTTTCTTAGACTGGAGCACAGTGGCACAATCATGGCTCATTGTCCTGATCCTCCACCTGTTGGGCTCAAGCATCCTCCCGCCTCAGCTTCCCAAGTAGTTGGGACTACAGTCTGGCGCCACCACACTTAGCTAATTTTATGAGGTCTCATCATTTTGCCCCGGCTGGTCTCGAACTCCTGGGCTCAAGTGATCCTCCTGCTTTGGCTTCACAGAGTGCTGAGATTACAGGTGTGAGCCACTGTGCCTGTCCTGGCATATTCTATTTCTTTCTGTTTTTAACTTTATTTTATTTTATTTTGAGACGGAGTTTCACTCTTGTTACCCAGGCTTGAGTGCAATGGCGCGATCTCGGCTCACCGCAACCTCCACCTCCTGGGTTCAGGCAATTCTCCTGCCTTAGCCTCCTGAGTAGCTGGGATTACAGGCACGCGCCACTATGCCCAGCTAATTTTTTGTATTTTTAGTAGAGACGGGGTTTCACCATGTTGACCAGGATGGTCTTGATCTCTTGACCTCGTGATCCACCCTCCTCGGCCTCCCAAAGTGCTGGGATTACAGGCTTGAGCCACCGCGCCCGGCCTAACTTTATTATTTTTTTAAGACAGAGTCTCAGCCAGGCGTGGTGGCTCATGCCTGTAATCCCAGCACTTTGGGAGGCTGAAGCAGGTGGATCACGAGGTCAGGAACTCAAGACCAGCCTGGCCAATATGGTGAAACCCTGTTTCTACTAAAAATACAGAAATTAGCTGGGTGTTATGGTGTGCACCTGTAGACCCAGCTACTCGGGAGGCTGAGGCAGAAGAACCACTTGAACCTAGGAGGTGGAGGTTGCACTGAGCTGAGACCGAGCAACTGCACTCCAGCCTGGGCGACAGAGCAAGACTCCATCTCAAAAAAAAAAAAAAAAAAAAAGACAAAATCTCCCTCTGTTACCCAGGCTGGAGTGCAGTGGGGCATGATCTCAGCTGACTGCAATCCCAGCCTCCCAGGTTGAAGTGATTCTCCTGCCTCAGCTTCTCGAGTAGCTGGGTTTACAGGTGCCCACCAATGCGCTCAGCTAGTTTTGTGTGTGTGTATTTTTAGTGGAGATGGGGCTTTCACCGTGTTGGCCAGGCTGGTCTCGAACTCCTGACCTCAAATGATCCACCCACCTTGGCCTCCCAAAGTGCTGGGATTATAGGTGTGAGTCACCTCACCTGGCCAGCCACTGCACCTGACTTATATCTGACTTTTTTTTTTTTTTAGACAAGAGTCTCACTCTGTTGCTAGGCGCCAGGCTAGAGTGCAGTGGCGTGATCTCGGCTCATTGCAACCTCCACCTCCTGGGTTCAAGCAATTCTCCTGCCTCAGCCTCCCAAGTAGCTGGGACTACAGGCGCTCACCACCATGCCCAGCTACTTTTTGTATTTTAGTAGAGATGGGGTTTCACCATGTTGGCCAGGATGGTCTCAATCTCTTGTGATCCTCCCGCCTCAGCCTCCCAAAGTGCTGGGATTACAGGCGTGAGCCACTGCACCCAGTCATATCTGACTTTTAAAATTTTATTTAATTTATTTTTTTTTTGAGATAGAGTCTCACTCTGTTGCCCGTGCTGCAATGCAGTGGCATGATCTTGGTTCACTGCAACCTCTGCCTGTAGGTTTTAAGGGATTCTCCTGTCTCAGCCTTCTAAATAGCTGGAATTACAGGTGTGTGCCACCATGCCTGGCTAATTTTTGTTTTGTTGAGGCAGAGTCTCATGTTGTCACCCAGGTTGGAGTGCAGTGGTGATCTTGGCTCACGGCAACCTCTGCCTCCCAGGTTCAAGCAATTCTCCTACCTCAGCCTCCAGAGTAGCTGGGTTTACAGGTGCCTGCCATCATGCCCACCTAATTTTTGTATTTTTAGTAGAGACAGGGTTTCACCATGTTGGCCCTGCTGGTCTCAAACTCCTGGCCTCAAGTGATCCACCAGCCTCTGCCTCCCAAAGTGTTGGGATTACAGGTGTGAGCCATGGTGCCTGGCCTTTATTTTTCGAGTTGAGGTCTTGCTCTGTTGCCCAGCCTCAAACTTCTGGCTTCAATCAACCCTTCTACCTTGGCCTCCCAAAGTGTTAGGATTATGGACATGAGCCACCATGCCTGCCCAGGCTTCTTTTACTCTCACTATGTTGTGAGATTCAACCTTGTTGCAAATCACTGGGTTTGTTCATTCTCATTGCTGATCAGTGTTCCACTGTGTTAATATACCACAGTTTATCCATTATATAGCTGTACTTCATATAGTTTTTGGTATGTATGGAATATTTTGTCAAAATAATTTTTAAAATAAATAAATTACATGTTAAAACTATAATAACTGCATGATGATCTGCCTTAGAGTTTTTGCTAGCTGGGTGTAGTAGTTTACACCTGTAATCCCAGCACTTTGGTAGGCCGAGGTGGGGGAATCATGAGGTCAGGAGTTCAAGATCAGCCTGTCCAATATGGTGAAACAAACACTTTTTCTACTAAAAAATACAAAAATTATATGGGCTTGGTGGCGCGTGCCTATAGTCCCAGCTACTTGGGAGGCTGAAGCAGGAGGATTGCTTGAACCCAGGAGGCAGAGGTTGCAGTGAGCCAAGATCGTGCCACTGCACTCCAGCCTGAGTGAGACTCCATCTCAAAAAAAATAAAAGTTTTTGCCATTCAGAAGGATGAATCAGTCCGTGTTAGCCTTCTCCATGAGTAATAACACACTCCTCAGGGGTTCAGGAGAGGTCTGCCGTATGCTAGACAACCACAGGGAAAGTCATTCCAAATCATTTACAGGACACTGACTGGATACACAGTCTTGTGCTGGGTTCTATGGAGAACCAACATGAAAACTCAGTTTCTTCACTCATGGCTGACATTTCTTTTCTTCTTCTTTTCTTTTTTTTTTTTTCTGAGACAAAGTCTTGCTCTATCGCCCAGGCTGGAGTGCAGTAGCGTGATCTTGGCTCACTGTAGCCTCCACCTCCCGGGTTCAAGCAATTCTGGTGCCTCTCAGCCTCCTGAGTAGCTGGGATCACAGGCATATGTCACCACACAAGTCTAATTTTCACATTTTTTGTAGAGACAGAGTTTTGCCATGTTAGTCAGACTGGTCTAGAACTCCTGACCTCAAGTGATCCACCCAACTCATGGCTGACATTTCTTAGGAGTGAAAGAGACCTCAGAATGTACTTCTAGACGGACAGGAGCTAGACAGGCAGGACCATTTCCCTGCATGGAAACTTGTTACTTGAGCCTTTTAGCTGATATGGAATCAGAAGAGAAAAAAGGTCATCTTCAGAGTGGCCTGGACCGGGTCCTTTTCCCTCCAGGACAAAAAGGTGATGGTCACTTTTTCCCTAGTAGACATGCTGCTGGGCTTTATCTACCCAGCATTCCTATCCCCTCCAGACCCACAAGTGTGGACCTTTATCTGGACTCTGCTTCCTCTCTGGGGATACCAGGTCTTGGAGCAAGAGAACTTGGCAGGCTCTCCCCATGGCGGTCCTATTCCTCCTCCTGTTCCTATGTGGAACTCCCCAGGCTGCTGCAGGTAAGGGGCAAAGGTAGGAAAATTCCTTGGCCATTTGCAAGGTGGGGAAGGCCTGCTGCTCTTTCTCCTAGGAGCCTGGAGAAGGCATCTGACTTGAAGATCGAATTACTCCAACTGACCTCCTCCTGCCTCTGACACTAAGGAAGATCCAGAGGCGAGGAGGGTCCAGGTTATGCAGTTTCCTTTATAAAATACGAAGAATGAGTTAATGCTTCCAGAAAAGTAGAAATGAATAGAAGAGATGTGGGCATTTGCCAACTCTTCCAGCCTTTTCCCTCTTGCCCTCAGACTGCCTCACTGGCCGGCGGGGAGGAAAGCCCTTACCCTCTTCTCCCCAACTGTCTTATTTTTGTAGCTGTCACTTGAGAAATGTGGTCACCAGCCAGGTCCATGCTGGGGGACCCCAGAAGGGGAAGAAGCCAGGGTTGAAGATCAAATGAGGGGTTGTTGATCTGATGGAGGTCTCTGGCCTCATACAACTCTCTTCCCACAGGCAACATCCAGGCCATCTATGTGGCCTCGGGGGAGGCAATGGAGCTGCCATGTCCCTCACCACTCACTGTACATGGGGATGGACACCTGTCTTGGTTCCACAGCCCTGGAGCAGGCTCCTTCACCACCCTGGTAGCCCAAGTCCAACTGGGCAGGCCAGCCCCAGACCCTGGAAAACCAGGAAGGGAATCCAGGCTCAAACTGCTGGGGAACTATTCTTTGTGGCTGGAGAGCTCCAAGGAGGAAGATGCTGGGCGGTACTGGTGTGCTGTGCTGGGTCAGCACCACAACTATCAGAACTGGAGGGTGTATGATGTCTTGGTGCTCAAAGGTGAGTGAGGGCATGCAGACCAGGGGCCACTGTGGGCTAGGAAATCCAGGCGAAGAACTGAGGGGTCCTTCTCTCCCCCACAGGATCCCAGTTATCTGCAAAGGCTGCAGATGGATCCCCCTGCAATGTCCTTGTGTGCTCTGTAGTCCCCACCAGACGCATGGACTCTGTGACCTGGATGGAAGGGAAGGGTCCCGTGAGGGGCCGTGTTCAGTCCTTCTGGGGCAATGAGGGTGCCCTGCTCTTGGTGTGTCCTGGGGAGGGGCTTCCTGAGTCCAGGAGCCGAAGATCAAGAATCATCCGCTGCCTCGTGACTCACAACAAAGGGGTCAGCTTTAGCCTGGGAGGTAAACTGAGGGAGGAGATGGAAAGGGATGTTCTTCTACCTCAGCCTCCCAAGTAGCTGGGATTACAGGTGCCTGCCACCACGACTGGCTAATTTTTTGTATTTTTAGTAGGGACGAGGTTTCACCATTTTGACCAGGCTGGTCTCGAACTCCTGACCTCCAGTGATCTGCCTGCCTTGGTCTCCCAAAGTGCTGGGATTATAGGCGTGGGCCACCACACCTGGCCCTAATTTTTAAATTTTTGGAAGAGACAGGGTCTCATTATGTTGCCCAGTCTGGTTTCAAACTGCTAGCCTCAAATGATCCTCCTGCCTTGACCTTCCAAAGTGTTGGAGTTACAGGCATGAGCTACCACACCTGGCTATTTTTTCTTGAGAGGGTGAATTACTATGAAGGGTATGAGGGGAAAGTGTAGTTATGGCTGGCGGTCTACTCTGTAGCTGGCTGCCCATGTGTGAGCAGGGGGCACTCCATTCTATATACATATATTTTTGTTGTTGTTGTTGTTGTTTTTTGAGACGGAGTTTCGCTCTTATTACCCAGGCTGGAGTACAATGGCGCGATCTCGGCTCACTGCAACCTCCACCTCCTGAGTTCAAGCAATTCTCCTGCCTCAGCCTCCCGAGTACAGGCACGCGCCACCATGCTCAGCTAATTTTTGTATTTTTAGTAGAGACGGGGTTTCACCTTGTTGACGAGGATGGTCTCTATTTTTTTGTTTTTTTTTTTTTAGTTGACAGGATGGGGTCCCATTCTCTATTTTTTATTTTATTTTATTATTAGGCTGGGCTCTGTGGCTCATGTCTGTAATCCCAGCACTTTTGGAGGCCAAGGTGGATGGATCACCTGAGGTCAGTAGTTCGAGACCAGCCTGACCAACATGGAGAAATCCTGTCTCTACTAAAAATACAAAATTAGCTGGGCGTGATGGCGCATACCTGTAATCCCAGCTACTCGGGAGGCTGAGGCAGGAGAATCGCTTGAACCCAGGAGGTGGAGGTTGCAGTGAGCTTAGATCATCCCATTGCACTCCAACCTGGGCAACAAGAGTGAAATTCCATCTCAATAAAAATAAAAATTAAAATTAAAAAATTGTATTCTTAGTAGAGACAGGGCTGGAGTGCAATGGTGCGATCTCAGCTCACTGCAACCTCTGCCACCTTTCAGGTTCAAGCTGTTCTCCTGCCTCAGCCTCCCAGGTAGCTGGGATTACAAGCATGTGCCACCACGCCCAGCTAATTTTGTATTTTTAGTACGGGGTTTCTCCATGTTGGTCAGGCTGGTCTCGAACTCCTGACCTCAGGTGATCCTCCAGCCTCGGCCTCCCACAGTGCTGGGATTATAGATGTGAGCCACCACCCCCAATTTTTATATTTTTAGTAGAGACACGGTTTCATCATATGTTGACCAGGCTGGTCTTGAACTCCAAACCTCAAATGATCCGCCTGCCTTCACCTCCTAAAGGCGTGAGCCACCAGGCCTGACCGCCATTCTCTATTTGTTAGCCCAGGGGTGAGGGTGAGAGGCCTGGAAAGGGGCAGAGTAGTGTGGAGGATACTGTAGGCAGGGAAGCTTACAAAGTCTTCTGTTGGAAGTGCCCACCAGAGTATGGAGGGGAAGCCTCTTTTTGGGGAACAGGGACAGGCCCCTTCACTGCCTTCCTCCCATCCCTCAGGTCTGGCCTTTACTACAGCCTCCATGGATGCCTCTCCTGCCATCTGTACCCCTTCCACGGGCTGGGACATGCCTTGGATTCTGATGCTACTGCTCACAATGGGCCAGGGAGTCATCATCCTGGCCCTCAGCATCGTGCTCTGGAGGCAGAGGGTCCATGGGGCTCAAGGCAGAGGTGAGTCCCTCCCTCCCTGAGGGAAGAAGAGAGCATGTGGGTGTGAGGCAAAGGCCTAGGCTTGTACTCTGCCTCTGTACCCCATCTCCTCTGGGATTGGGCAAGGACCAGGGCTCTAAGTTGTCTGCTGACTTCTCTTTTGTACCCCTGATGGCTCCTTCTCCCCAGATGCCTCGATTCCTCAGTTCAAACCTGAAATCCAGGTCTATGAGAACATCCACTTGGCCCGTCTTGGGTGAGGAACAACTGGGGGACAGAGGCTTAAATCCCGGAGGGGACTGGGGATGGAAGAGGAAAGCCTGGGATTGGGTTGGGGATGGAGCCTTCCTTCCTGAGGACGTGGAGAGTAGAGGTATCTTTAATCTGTCTCTCTGGAAAACCCCCCAGCCCGCCTGCCCACAAGACCAGGTGATCTTGGTGACATCTGCTGGGAAGTGTGACCTGCTATCTCACTGGCCATCTAGCACCTGCAGGATTCCCTGACAACCTCGGCAAGGGGGGCAGGACTTAGAGTTCGGCTTCCCAGTCCCGCTGGCCTCCAACAGCCACCCAGCTGTATATGGGGGAGGGTGGGGACTGAAGGAAAGGAGGAACATTATTCAGTGATGTCACCTACAAAAAGGTTTGGTCTCCTGTCTTGTAGCAGCCAGTGGACGGGTAGCCCTGAGCTCGTCGTACTGTGGGGTTGAGGGGAGCCTGAGGTTGCTGGTGGGGGCGCAGAGGATGGCTGTGGGCAGGGAGGAGACAGGAATCTGGAGACTTGAGCAGTGGTGGGGAATCAGTTGCAGGGGAGCTGAAGGACAAATAGGAAAAATGGGAAGAGGGAGAGGGGAAGAGACTCAAGTCAGAGAAAGTGGAAAGAGATGGACACAGAGAGAAAACTAGAAGCACAAAGTGGGAGGATGGAGGGGCAGAGAAAATGGAAAGAAAACTCAACTCATCTCTAAATTAAGCCAGACCAGCCCCATGTCTCATCCTCACAAAGAAGAGAGGGAAGAAGCACCTTCAATCAACCCAACTTCCTCACATGCAAGGGGAGGGAACTGAGTCAGGATAGAGATGCCTGAGCTTGGCTCCCAGCCTGGGGCCGCCTCCTTATCCTTCCTTATCCTAGGCACACACTCCTCCCTGTGGCACTCCACTGGGGCATTCAGAGCATGTGAGCAGCTATTACCATCCTGGCACTTCCTCCCTGCTGCCCTGGGGTCACACCCTATCTCCCGGGGCAGAGGGAGTGTCTCCCGGGGCTGGCAGGCCCAGGGGGGTGTGTAATTCATTGGGTCAGGGCCATGCTGGGATATCTGTGAACCATGGGCAAGTCTGGGCTGGTGAAACGAGGGAGGGTATTGATGCTCCCGACCTTGCCATTCCGCAGTCTCAGGCAGAAACGAGCTGGTCTCCCAGCCACACCCTCATGAGCAGCTCCACCAGGTGCCCTTTTGTGTCGCTGCTCAAGCTTGGGCATAATGGAGAAAAGCTTTCTCAGAAGTCTCTACTAAAGCCTTCATGATGCAGGGGCTTAAACTAAGCCACTGGCAGGAAAGAGGACGCGAATGACACAGATGGAAGATGAGGGGAGTGCCGTGGTCCAGGCTCCAGCTGCAGCCCAACCCAACAAGCAGCTATAGTTTGCTCTTAGAGCACACACACAAAGACACACACACACACACACACACACACACACTGCAGTATCTGCAGTATTACTGGACTCCTAGATAGACATTTTATTAAAGGTACTCTTCATAGATCCCCAAGCCCTCTGTCCTGAGTTCCCGACCTACCACATTAGTCTTTCCTAGCAAGACTCTCCCACTCACCATATCTGATGCCCCTTTGATGCCCTTGCCCGAGACCCATGATGTCATCAACATGCCTGCCTTGCCAGTGATCTGGGCTGATGGGGCATCAGCAATGGGCATCTAGCAAAGATAAAAGACACAGAATAGTTGTTCTTTATGAGGCTGGCCAGGTCCCTCCCCAGGCCCTGTGAGGGGTCTGTGAGGGTGCTGGGCTGAGAGATCTGATGTCTTAGTACAAAATTAAGTTCTTGGGCATGTCTCAAAGTGTCTGTGCAGGTGTTTCCAGGGCCAAGGAATCCCCGGTTGGGAGCTGCAGATCGATCGAGGCTAGTAGAGGAGGTGTCCTCTCCCTGCGAAGCTGGCCACGAGGAGGGGCAGGGAGGTGAGGAGGCTGGGGAGCTGCCGTGGGGAAGCCACCCTGTTGCATAGGTCCTGCTCGCAGCAGTGGTGCCTCAGGGTGTAGGAGCGCAGCCAGTAGGTGGCATGGCCCAGCAGAGGGCACTGGGCCCTTGGGAGGCAGCCTTTCCGCTGGATGATCTCACTCTGGTCTGTGGGACAAAGGAGGCACACTGAGGCAGGGGCCGCAGGAAAGGTGGGATGGATGGAGGTAGGGAGCCACCAGGAGGGCCACTGGACTAGAGTCCTACCTGAGGTGCCAATACTGATACTGCAAGCTTCATCGTCCTGACACTCGGTGGGAACAGGGTAGCAGGGTTTGGCGAAGCCACAGGTGTAACAGCGGAGCCTTCCCCGGGCAGGGGACATGGTGAGACCTGTTGAGGCAGCAGAGATCAGGGAAGTGGGAGAGGCAAACCCTCCTTGTGGGGCAGGCAGAGGCCAGATCCAGGAGAGGGATAGCAGAGAGAGGTGACACACTAGGTGGAGAGAGGGAAGCTGTGCAACAAGGGAGGAAAGCAGACAGAAGTAGAAAAACAGACACAGAGAAGGGAGGGGAGACGATGCAAGAACAGAAACAGACAGAGGAAAGAGGGGTACATGGATTGAGAGTCGCGAAGACATGATCAGAAGCCACAAGAATCAGAGACCAAAATTTATGTTGAGTGACACAAAAAGCCAGAGGGAGGTGGAGGGTAGAGGGAGCAGGGAGGTGGAGGGTAGAGGGGGTCTGGACGGGAGCACGCCAGAAACAGATAAGAAAATAGAAATTGACATTGACCAAGAGGCCCAGCATAGAAGCAAGAGGTAAAATAAGGGACAGGGGAGACGGGGCGGGTCAAAGATGGAGCCAGGAGGCGACAGTTACTCTCAAATTTCTTTGAAAGGAAACTCTTCCTTTCCCACCTCATCAGATTGGCCTTCCCAGTGGCTGGCCTCCCTGAAGTCCCCCACTCTCCCAGCTCTCTTCTTAGCCTCTTCCAGCACTCCCACCCCTCTCCTCCCCAGCCCTCAGGTTCCTCCACATGCCCTGTCCCCGCCCCCAGCCCCCTGACCCCTGAAGGTCCCCAGCCCACCCTTACCCAGTGTTCCACAGAGGAACAGGATACAGAGGAAGATGCTGGAGGTGCCCATGGCCAGACCCAGGCTCAGGAATCTGGGAGAGGTGATCTGCACCCTGAGATCCCGGGATTTGTAGAGTTGGAGCATTTGAGCAAGACAGGGAGGAACTCGTAAACAAACACACCTAGGGAGTGAGTTTGGGGTGCAGAACCGTGACCAGATTCTCCAGCCTGACTCAGCAGGCAGCAGGGCGCCAGCCTGCCCCGGAAAAGGAGTCTGCCCTTGCCTGGAGGGTCTCCTCTGCTCTCTCTGCATGTTGTCTCTGTAACTTAGCTTCCTCTCCTGCTCCTGAGTTGTGTCTGTCGCCTTCCTTCCTACTCTTCTCCCTCCCTCCCCATGTCTCAAGCTGCTCTGTGACTCTCTCAGCTTCTCTCCATCTTTGTTTTCTCTGTCTTTCCCCCTCAATGCTTTCATGTCTCTGAAGGTCACCCTCCTAAACAGCCCTGGCCTGGATCTGTTTGAGTGTGGAATCAACAATACCCCCACCCACCCACCCACACACACACACAAAGCCCAGCTGTGTAAGGGCGGACCCCACCTAGCTTCAGATTCCTTTGATTCCCCCAAGCTTCAATATTCCTACCCCATAATTATCCCTGCCAGCTTTACTACCTTGGAGGAAAGAAATAATCATAGGTGGGGCTGGAGGGCCGGATATGCTTGCACTGGGGAGAAATCACTAGAAAGGAAGGTGTGGATAGGATTTGGGGTAGGGAGTGTGGCAGAGCCTAGAAGACTGGAGTCGAAGAGATTGGGAAGGAGGAGGGCCCCATCTGGGGAATCAGATCCAGCATGTACCTGGAGGAGTAAGACTAGGAACAGGGAGTGGGGACAGGGGAGACACACCCAGGAGAGCAGCTCTTTTCAAAAACATTGTTCTTGCTGGGTACATGCCCATGAGAAAGAAACTCAGTATATCAAACACACACAAAAAAAAACAAAACAAAACATTGATCTCAGGACCTTTTTACACTTTTCAAAGTTACCTAAGACTCTGAAGAGATTTTCTTTATGAGGTTATATCAACATTTACTGTATTAAAAATTAAAACAGATTGTTTAGGTATTTATTGATTTATTTAAACAACAAAAATAATAAAATATTACATGTTTACAAAATTGTTTTGTGAAAAATAACTGATTTCTCCACAGCACAGTGAGAAGAAGAGCATTGCTTTGCATTTTTGTGAATCTAATGTCAGGCTTCATGGGAGAGGCCTGGGTTTTCCTATCGCTTCTGCATTCAGTCTTGTGGGATATGTTGTTTTCACTGAAGTCTAGTATATGAAGCAGATCTGACCTTACACGGATAACTGCAAAAGGAAGCCCCTCAAGGACCCTGTGAAAGGGTCTCAGGGACCCCCACGGATTCTTGGTCCACAGTTTCAGAACTGCTGCTAAGGATAAAGGAGTTTGAGGACTCCAGAAGATGCTGAGAGCATGCCATGGGGCCCCTCCCTGTCCCCACTGGGGCCCCTGGTGCCTGCTAGGGGAGACTCTTTCCTCCTTTTTTATAGCCCTATAAAGCTGAAGGCAAGAGGGATATAAGGCTGACAGAGCTGGGCTGCGGAGGGGGTGGGCGGGAGGTAGAATCGGGTAGACTGACACAGGCAGACTGTGATGAACCCCCAGTTTGTTGGGATCTTGCTCAGCTCCCTGCTGGGGGCTGCCTTGGGTAAGGAGGCAGTCAGCCAGCCTCTCGCACAGGCCTTCTGCCAGCAGGCTCCACCGAGGACCCAGGTCCAGCGCCTCTTTTCTCTTGCCAGGAAACCGAATGCGGTGCCAGGACTGCGGTGGAAGCTCCAGCAGCTCTTGTAAAGAGGCCGTGACTACTTGTGGTGAGGGCAGACCGCAGCCAGGCCTGGAACAGATCAAGCTACCTGGAAACCGTGAGTCCTCAGTTTCTTCCTCTTCCCGCATCCTTTCCTCCCTCCAGCCCCACGTCAATCCTTCTGGCTTCCAGAATCCTCCAGGCTCAGTCTGGCTCTGAGCAGATGGTGTGGCTGTCAGAGGAGAGCAGTCTGTACCCCTTCTGGCTCCTGGCATGGAGTCCCCAAGAGGCCCACAGTCCTTGTGTCCTCATCCCCCCACTCCTTACTCTCCCAAAAGAATCTCATAGGCCAATTAGGTCACAAATGAAAAGCTCTGGCCTTGAAAGGCCAAAGTTAAAAGCAAACTTCGAATTTCCGGCTTTAGCTAAGGACCAGGGAGGGGTGTGTGTGTGTGTGTATACATTATTTTAATATTTTATTTTAACATAATTTTGAATTGACAGAAAAATTGCAGAAGTTTTTGGCGTCTCCTAATGCTAACATCTTACATAACCATAGTACAATTATCAAAATCACAAAATAACGCTGATATAATACTACTAACTAATCTACAGAGTTTATTTGATTTAGCAGAATCCCATATTGCATTTAGTTCTCATGTCTTTTTATCTCCTCTGATCTAGGCCAGTTCTGTTTTTCTTTGTTTTTTATGACCCTGACACATTTGAAGAGTCCCGATAAATTATTTTATACCTGGAGTTTAAAACATCACTTTTAGGGCCGGTGCAGTGACTTATACCTGCAATCCCAGCATTTAGGAGGCCAAGGTGGGAGGACCACTTGAGCCCAGGAATTGAGACCAGCCTAGGCAACATACAGAGACTCTGTCTCTAAAAAAAAAAAAAAAAAAAAAAAAAAAAGGCCAGGTGCGGTGGCTCACACCTATAATCCCAGCACTTTGGGAGGCCGAGGTGGGTGGATCACGAGGTCAAGAGATCAAGACCCTCCTGGTCAACAAAGTGAAACCCCGTCTCTACTAAAAATACAAAAATTAGCTGGGCATGGTGGTGCGCGCCTGTAGTCCCAGCTACTCACGAGGCTGAGGCAGGAGAATTGCTTGAACCCAGGAGGCAGAGGTTGTGGTGAGCCAAGATCGTGCCATTGCACTCCAGTCTGGGTAACAACAGCGAAACTCCGTCTCAAAAAAAAGATTAAAAAATTAGCTGGAGCAGGGCACTGTGGCTCATACCTGTAATCCCAGCACTTTGGGAGGCCAAGGCAGGCGGATCACCTGAGATCAGAAGTTCAAGACCAGCCTGGCCAACATGGGTAAACCCTGTCTCTACTAAAAATGCAAAAATTAGCCAGGCGTGGGGCGCTGCCTGTAGTCCCAGCTACAAAGGAGGCTGAGGCAGGAAAATCGCTTGAACCCAGGAGGCAGAGGTTGAGTGAGCCAAGACTGCACCACTGTGCTCCAGCCTGGATGACTGAGTGAGACTCCATTTCAAAAAAAAAAAAAATTAGCTGGGCATGGTGGCACATACCTGTAGTCCCAGCTATTCAGGGGGCTGAAGAGGAAAGATAGCTTTAGCCTAGGAGGTTGAAGTTACAATGAGCCATGGTCATGCCACTACACTCCAGTCTGGGTGACAGAGCAAGATCTTGTCTCTAAAAATAAATAAATAAAATCATGTTTAGATTTTAAAACATTTACATATATTTGATATACTAAAATTATAGAATGTCCCTCGATTTGTATTTATCTGATATTTTGCCATGAGATTGAGGTCATGCATTTTCAGCAAGAATACGCAGAAGTGATGTTGCATCCTTCTCACTGCGTCTGCGTCACATCAGGCATTTACAATGTCAATTTGTTAACTTTGATCACTTGGTTTCAGGGAGGTGTTTTTTGAGGGGGCAGAAAATCTCTTTGGGCTCCTTGAAATCATATCTGCTCTGCCCCAGAAGGCAACTCCTGAAGCCAGGAGTCCAACACCCCAGTCTCATTCTTTCTCTCAGCCTCAGTGACCTTGATTCATCAACATCCAGCCTGCGTGGCAGCCCATCATTGCAATCAAGTGGAAACAGAGTCGGTGGGAGACGTGACTTATCCAGCCCACAGGGACTGCTACCTTGGAGACATGTGCAACAGCGCCGTGGCAAGCCATGTGGCCCCTGCATGCATTTTGGCTGCAGCAGCTACCGCCCTGGGCTGGCTCTTGCCAGGACTGTGGAGGGGGTACTGGGAGTAGGGGTAGAGAAGGGAGCAAGGGAGCAAGGGTTGTCTGAACATCTAAAATGAGAAGACAAGCATTCTTCTGTGAGCCATTAAAATCTATGGACCACTCTGCAGCTGACTGGAAAACTGCATCTATCTTTTGTTGATAGGTGGGCTAAAAGGGTAAAATGGGGCATCCACGTTCTAGTTTGGGGGTTACCAAGGAACAGTGGGCTTAATTACAGTGGCGTGCTACTTAACCAACTAAACTCCAAAAGACAATGGCTTATCTGCCCTCCATGGCTCCTGGATCCTGTTGCTGAGTTGAATCTTCCTTAGCAATGAGATTCACTGAGTGGGGTTGCCAGGGTTTCGTGAGCCGGAGTCTGTGTTTGCTCCCCTTTCTCCCATTTGCAACTTGGCTCCCAATGGGACTATTTTGAATTGAGAAAAGAAATGTAAAGTCTGGGTATGGTGGCTCAAACCTGTAATCCCAGCACTTTGGGAAGCTGAGACGGATGGATCATGAGGTTAGGAGATCGAGACCATTCTGGTTAACATGGTGAAACCCCGTCTCCACTAAAAATAGTCCCAGCTACTCGGGAGGCTGAGGTAGGAGAATCGCTTGAACCTGGGAGGCAGAGGTTGCAGTGAGCCGAGATTGCATCACTGCACTCCAGCCTGGGCAACAGAGCGAGACTCCATCTTAAAAAAATGAAGAAAAGATAAAGAACAGGGATCTGGGGGGAAAAAAAGAAAAGAAAAGAAAAAAAGGTAATATAAAAACTGTAATAGGAGAGCTTCTTGGTGCCCTACTTAGTAACCAGGCCAGGTGAGGCCTCTGACTTTAACGTGAGAGAAACTGAGGAAACAGGGTCTCAGGCCCCATCCCGGTGTGGCTCTCTGATCCTTTCTGGAGAGCCCTCAAGCCAGGCTGCACCTTATTCTTGGCAATACATCAGGGGTGTGGCCTAAATTTAGGATAGGAGTTGTTTCTCCAAACACTGGGGCTTGTGTGCCACCTGGAGACACTGGAAGGAAGGACGAAGACCTGAAAAACCTGTTTCTCCATTTGCCCCAGCCTCAGCCTCCCAGGGAACATCCCTGAAGGATTCCTGTGTAAGGGTAGGAGACTGAGTGTTAGTTGCTGGGAGGTGACCTGAGTTGCTGGGAGGTGACCTTACCCTTAGGTCTTCTGATAATAAATACACATTTCATCAGACTCAGACATTTATTATTCAAAATGGAAAGAGGTGAGTATGGGGATGGGGTACGTATGGGAGCCTGGGTTTGGGGAGTCAGCCCTGTACAGTGAGGTCATCAGGTCCTTGTGAGAGCCTTCATTGGGGACAAGACAGAAACCCCATTTCAGGCCCAGATCCCAATCCCTCCTCAAGTAGGGGACAGTAGAGTGTAGGAAGC